GTATTTATATATGTTTGTAATTGTTTGGTGTTTTTTTTTTTTTTTTTTTGTTTTCTCTCTGTATGTGGAACTTCGGTTTGGCGTTTTATATCATTTCACTTATGAAAATGCAGTGATTCTGGAAAATAGAATTTTTACTCCTGAGAGATATATACATATATATTATCATAAGAAGTGCTTCTGACGAGAGGCAAACAGAAGAAGAAGAAGAGATAGCAAAATAGAAAAAAAAGAAAAAGAAATGGTATTAGTTCTTGTTGTTGGTGATCTCCACATACCGCAGCGGGCCGCCTCTATTCCTGAGGCCTTCACTCAAATGTTCACACCGGGCCGTATTAACATGGTGCTCATTACCGGCAATCTTGGCTGTCGGGAGATGTATAATTACTTCCGCACAGTGGCCCCTGTAGTGTATTGCGCGAAGGGAGAGTTTGACGGTTGGGCCCACGGCAGTTTGCAGGACTCACACGTTCTTCCCATTGAGGGACTGCGGGTGGGATTACTGCACGGACATCAAGTGGTGCCCTGCGGGGATAAGGATGCACTCGCGATGGTGCAGCGCAAGTTAGATGTGGATGTACTCGTCTCTGGAGCCACACACCACTGCAAGATCTTTGAGTTTGACGGGCATCTCTTTATCAATCCAGGATCCATCACCGGGGCTTTTACACCAGTGCGACCAGAAGTGACCCCGACATTTATCTTGTTGGATATTAAGGACACTACGGTAACATCCTTCTCGTATGTGTACGCGCCAAAAGAGAACGCAGAGGGTGAGAACTTCACTATTAAACGAAGAACATGGACAAGGGAATAGTATTCACTCATTGGAAAAGAGGTACCGAGTGAAAGGGACATAAAATAGGGAGAGAGAAAGAGAAAGAAAGAAAGAAAGAAAGAAAGAAAGAAGAGACATAGTAATTCTTTTTTTTTTCTCTTGGTTAGTTGTTCCGTATCGTATTTATTTTTATTTGCTTTTATTATTATTATTATTATTATTATTATTATTATTATTACTTTATTCGCATTTACTTTTTTTTGTATTGTTTGCTATATCACTTACAAAAAGGTAATTTTTCTAGTTGGTGGAAGAAGTTGGAATATAAGGAGATGTAGTGTTATCTGTACACTCTTTCTCATTTGTGGACGTATCTTTTCTGTAAACTTTTTTTTTTCTTTCTTTTCTTCTTTGATTTTGCCTTTGGAAGGCTGTGCTATCAGCAACAATACACAGGGCGTGTTTTTTTGCTTCTTTGTTTGCTTGACGGCAAAAGAAGATAAAAAAGAAAAATAGAAAAGGAATTTATCAGCGCAAGTGACTACAATCGCTGCAGCCGAAACGTGAACACGAAAAAAAAAGGTTATCTGAAGGAAAACAAAATATAAAATAAAAACAAACAAAATACTCTCAATCAAATTAAGAGCGTTTTAGAGTCTTTTTGTTTCTTTCTTTTTTATAGGTATTGAATATTTGAGAATCGCTCTGTTGTTAAAAAAAAAAAAAAAAAAAAAAAAAAAAAAAAAAAAAAAAAAAAAAAAAAAGAAAAAGAAAAAAAAAAGAAATAGATCATGACCGATGTAACCTACAGTTACTCCAGGCTCCGCAGAGAGTTTGGGCGGATGCCGGAGTTTCAAGCCAATGAGGGTGAAATTCTAACGGAGATTGCCCCCAACCGTCCTTTAAAGAATCAATACACGAGATTAGATCCGTGCGAGACTGAAATTCAGAATGTACCTTCACTCTCAGAGACAGGCACTAACACAGAACGTATTATGTTGCGTCATCATGCTCAATCACATACAGAAGGTGGTTGGCCACAAGGTGTGGATCCCACAGAGTTTGAAGAAAAGATGAAGTATTGCAAGAAAGTGGAAAGAGAAGAAAGCTACTTATCATGCTGCCGACGTCTGGTTAATCAATTTACCGATAAATATATTAAACAAAACAATGCTATTGATATTTACGGTACTTACTTTCCTGAAGGTCCACCAGTGGAAGATGAGGCACTAGGACCTGCTTCTGCAAAGATTGTTTCAGTTTTTAAAGACCCTAGTAGAGAGAAACGTACGGCTGCGGCAATTTCATGGCAAAATGATGGTCGAAAGTTTGCTGTTGCTTATTGTCGTCTTCGTTTTCAAAGTAATACACCAACGATGAACACCAATTCTTATTTATGGGATGTTATGAATCCTAATACTCCTGTTGAAACTTTGGTAACCCAATCACCACTCTGCAGTATTGAGTATTATCCGAAGGATCCTCATATTATTGCTGGTGGAAGTTGGAATGGTATTGTACAATACTGGGATACACGTCAACCAACTCGTCCTTCTGCCCGGTCTCTTATTGAAGAAAGCCATAAAGATCCTGTTTGGGCTATCAAATGGCTACAGAGTAAATCTGGTGAACTTCTTTCAGTTTCTACAGATGGTGAAGTATATATATGGGATTGCCGTATTCCAGACAAGCCAGTGGAATTGCACAAGTTCCCTGAAGACTCATTGACATTATTACCTAAGAGTAATGAAGGAGGATCTAAAGGTGTTCTTGGTGGACTTTGTTTGGACTATGATCCACAAGTTGGTGGACCATCCAAATATATGATTGGAACAGAACAAGGTACCATTCTTTCTTGTAATCGTAAAGGTAAGACACAGGCAGATAAGATTGGACCTAATACATTTAATGGACATCATGGTCCTGTTTACTCTGTACAACGAAATCCATTCTTTTCCAAGTACTTTCTTTCAGTTGGTGACTGGACTGCACGAATGTGGTTTGAAGATTTTAAGTTTACACCACTGTTTAGTACATTCTATCACAAATCATATCTTTCAAGTGGTTCATGGCATCCTACAAGACCTGGTGTATTTTTTACAACTCGTATGGATGGTTTCCTAGATTTCTGGGATTTGATGTTGCGACAGTCAACTCCCGCGTTAAGTATTCAAGTATCTGATTATGCGCTACATACAGCAAAGCCTACTGTAGAAGGAAGACACGTCGCTGCAGGTGGTATCGACGGTAATGTAACTTTGCTGGAACTTTCTCCCTCACTTTATACTATGATGTCGGACGAAAAAAGTGTGATTGGCCAATTACTGGAAAATGAAAGTATTCGTGATAAGAATCTAGACAGGGCTGTAAAGGAGAAACGTGCGGTGGCAAAGCAGCGTCAGCGACGAAGCACTCACATGCAGGATGTTACTAGAGAATCTGATGATATGAATGAATGCCTGGAAAGGATGACAGAGGAATACAAACATGTAGTACAAGATGAAAAGGAACATGATCTGAAACACCGTGAAGAATTGGAATCAGAACGACGAAAACTAATGGAAGATATAGGTGATGGAATTGAGGTGGACGAAGATTAAGATGAAGTTTTCTTTTGTTTTCCCCCTTCTCTTTTTCTTTCTTTCTTTACGTTCTTCTTGTTTTCTACTGTCGCATATTTCTTGCGCATTTTAGCAACTCATCAGACAGTATGTACAGCGTTATCATTACTATAACTATCATCACCATTTGCTAGGCGTTTCCTTTGTTTGACGGGGAAGTGAAAGAAAAAAAAAAACAAAAATAAAAAAAATGTGGTCTTTTAGATCATTACAAGGTGAACCTCCCTCAAAAAGAAAAAAAAATGAAAAGGAAGAATAGAGGGAACAATAGATGGTTTACATGGTGGAGTGTATGTGGTTGTATGCCACCCATCCATGTGTGTTTTTTTTTTTTTTTCCTTTGCCGTTTACAGGCTATGTATGAGTTTAGCTATTATTTGAATGAATTATTACTACTATTATTATTACTATTATTAATGTTATTATTATTCTTATTATTGGATTCACTAATTTTCTGTGGTCTCTATTTTCATTTTTATGGGTCTCTCATATTTTCTTATAGATTATTTTCTTCCTCTTCTTCTTTCTTTCTTGTGTAGTTCTGTTGTGGAGCTAGGAGTGGAGGGAATAGTAGGAGGAGAGAGGTCTGCAGCAATACTGGAAGTGACCGTACTTTACTAGACACACATTCATACCGCACACTCACACACACATATATATATATATATATATATATATATATATATATATATAAGTATATATAAGTATATATATATATATATATATATATATAAACACACTGAGAGGAAATGCCTGCGAAGAAGAGTCTTCCTAACCTTAACCACTTCATGGAGAAGCGAGTGATGGTGAAACTGCAAGGCGGGCGATCCATCTCGGGTGAACTACGAGGTGTGGATCAGTTCATGAGTGTTGTTTTATTTGACGCCGTGGATGAAAGCCACCACCAACACAATGGAGATAATGAGGATAAAATGGCTCTTGGGACGACCGTTATCCGTGGAAGTACCATTGTAGATATTGTGGGCTTGGAAGCATAAGGAGGATTCTTGTGCAATGATGTTGAGAAAAAGAAGAAGGAGGAGAGGAACCCTGTTAACACAGAATGAAGGTAAAAAAGAAAATTAAAGAAAAAAAAAATCAAGAAAAAGAATGAAACACCAACAAGAGTGTTGAAGGGTGGAGAGGGTGTTGAGGTGGAGGTGCAGTGAGAATGAAGAAAAGGCGGATACGAAGGAGTTGGAGGGTTCGTCACAACGCGTTGAGTCTTGTAGTCTTTGACTTGACAGAAAGACAGAAAACGACTGAGTGGATATTATGAACACTAAAGTTAAAGAGGAAACGAAAGAAGAGGAAGAAGAAGAAGGGAAAAAAAAAAAACCCAAGAAAGCCGTTCTGATAGAAGCGAGAGAGAAATGAAAAAAAGTGAAAGGGACGTTTGGGTAAAAGTCTTCTTTCAGAGTACTTGCCCAGTCTAAACTCAATTTCTTATTTATTCCTTTCTTTTTATTTATTTATTTTTTTTTTTTTCTCTTTTGATGAATGCTTATTTGTGAATTTCTTTCTTTTTTTTTCTTTTTTTCTTTATATATTAAAGGTGTGTTTGTATCTCTACGAGTGTCTTTCTTTGTGTGTACCTTTTAACTCTTAATAGCGAAGAGTGAAAATAAAATAGAGTGAAAGGATGACTGGTTTTGACACTGCTTGGATTCCATTTGCAGTCCTATATCTTCTTTACCAAATTCCACCCACGATGATGGAAGTGTATTCCTACTACAGTCGTGGTGGACTGGTGGGAATTGAGGACATAAAATATGATGATACTTTTACATCTCATTTTCAATGGAATATAGATAAAGATATCTATTTTAAAAGGTTCTGTGATAGACCAACTAGTGAAGCCGGAAAAGCTTTCTTTTCTTGGCTTGATTGGAGTAGCGAATCATACGATCGTTCTATTTACGTATTGCGAAGAAACCACGCCCGACGTGATGGTGAAGTGTCGTTTCTTAAACGATATGTATACGGTCCATTTGTGTTTAACTGGCCAAAGAAGCAGTGGCTACGCGGTGATGATAGTTGTGGTATGCGCATGCCAGCGTGGGGCGTGGGCGGAGAAGAACGTGCACGCGAAGAGTTTGCGGCAGCGAAAGAAAAGGGGTTTGATAAGAATTGGCACTACCAAATTATGCGTAAAATTCGCCGTGAACAGGCAATGAAGGCAGCGGAACAATCAAATGTATGATAGTATTGTTTAAGCAAGTGAAAACAAAGAAAAAAAAAATAAGGGAATATTGAGGTTGGGGAAAAGGAGAAAAACAAAGCACTGTCTCTTTTTTTTTCTCTTGGTTTCTCTCTTTCTTTCTTCATTTCTCTCTGTACATATGTATGGTGAGGTGGATGGGGTTGGATAGTAGTATATTTATAGGATTAAGTATGGGTAGTATATGTCTCTACTGGGAAGTAAATGGGTGTGTTATATAGTTGCTGGCTTTGGGATCGTGTGCAGTATTATTTATTATTTTTTGATTATTTAGTTTTTAGTTATTTATTATTATTATTATTATTATTAATTTAGTTTTCGTTGGTGTAGTGTAGTATTCTCTTGCTAGTAGTATATATATAATATATGCGAAATATATATATATATATGGACTCTCAAATATTCTCTCTTCTTCAATGATAAAGTAAGACTTAGATTGTTCTTGCTGTTTCTACATGATATTTCATTTAATTACCATTTTTTTTTCTTTCTTTCATTTCCTTTTATTAACGTTTGGGGTGACTATTGTAATTCACGTAGGGTCTGAGAAGGTTCTACGAGAAGAACAGAACAACGAAGGAGAAAACAACAACAACAACAACAAGAAGAAAAAGGTAAAAAGAAAAGGAAAGAAAATATAAGGGAAAGGAGTGAAAGTCAGAGAGATAGAAAGCAAAGAATCAACAGTAAGCACTAAAGTGACAAAATTTACCTAACAGTAACAAAACAGGAGATACGTCCACGTAGACAGAGTGAGAGAGACAAACACACACAAATACACACGTATAAAATAAAACAAAACACAAAGCAAAGTGAGAAGCGGAGAGGATAATACAAAAAAAAAAAAAGAGAGGGAAAAAAGAAAAAAAAAAGAAATTTGGTATTTGCGCATACAATAAATACAATCAGTAATTATTCAAATGGAGAGTTTTCTTAGCCGCCTCGTTATGGATGCTGAGGGAGGTATCTCGCAGCGTAAGACAATGAAGGAAATTGCAGTAACTCGTGATAACATTACTAGTGACGATGAAGAACGCCAACGAATGGGTCTTATGGAACTTTGTGATATGCTGAACATGTCGACTTCTTTAACTATATCTTCTATACGGCCAAATGTATTTGTTCCACCCCTTTTAAATTGTTTAAAACGGGAGCACAATATAGATTTAATGCTTTTAGCTGCCCGTGCTTTGACGTATATGGTAGATGCAATTCCTACTACTGTATTTGTTTTAGGAACTGAAGGTGGAGTGGAAGTTGTTCTTCAACACCTGCGTGAGGTTAAAGATATTGAACTTACAGAACAATGTTTACTCTGTGTAGATAAAATAACGCAAACCCCTCCTGGTGCTTTAATGACTCTAGAAAAAGGTGGGGTTAATGCTCTTTTAGTATTTGTTGACTTTTTCAGTTCATCATCGCAACGTAAGGCATGGGAAAGTGTGGCAGCCATGTGTCGTCGAGTTGATTTATCTACATTTGATAAAGTTCAAGATTCTTTAGGTGAAATTCGTGCTCGTGTGGATAATAATGATGCTAAAATTGCTGAAAAGGCTATTTCATCACTTTACAGAATTATCACTGGTGTTCGTACTAAACCTGATCTTGTTGCAGAAGCATATGGTGATGTTTCCCACACACTTATGATTATTCTTACTAGAAATGATCTCAGTGAAAATACATTTACTACAGCACTTACCCTTATTGGTACCGCAGTTTCCCACAGTACTGAAGTTACTCGAAGAGCTCTAGAAAGTGGTTTAGTGGAATGTCTGTTCGCCCTCATTAGTCGTTCTTCAGAAGAGCAGTTAAGTCAAACTTTACGATCTCCAGGAGCAAGTCCTATGCTTCGAGCAAGAAGTCCTTTTGGGACTTCCTTTCCTAGTGATTCTTTTACACGGACTACTTTACCACCTGCATTATCAGGAGCAGGAGCAGGAGCAGCGTCTATTCCTAAAGATAAGCGACTAACGATGGAACAAACTAGAACCGTATGTGTTGCACTTGCTGGATTGTTACCTAGGATTATGGATAGTTACCTTGCGCATGGAAATGTTCTCACTGAATTACTCTCTGAGCGTTCTCGTAGTTCAAAACGTCAAAGGTTTTTTAGACTTAATGCTATAGGCGGAGAAGAAGGTCCTGGGGATATTGAAGTTGAGGAAGATGAAGAAACGATGACTCTTGAGGATATTCGGAGTCGTATCTTTGAAGAAGGTCCACCTATTGTAAAGAACCCACGGTATGCAACGTGTCGCCTTTCACATATTTGTGATGGTTGCAGAAAATCTTGTTTACCTGGTGACTGGTTTCGTTGTAATATTTGCCCAGATTTTGATTTCTGTGCTCAATGTCTATTGATAAACTGGGAAGAACACGGAGATAATTCAACACCGCATACATTTTGTGATATGCAAGAAGTTCTGCCCTTATCATCAAATAGAGGTGGTCCTTCTGGTACTGGCGCATCTAACCCAACTACTACTACTACTGCTACTAATACAAATACTTCATCTGCTACTACTACGGGTGCTGCTACTACTACAGCTACTAATACTACTACAGCTACTAATACTACGAATACAACGGATACGAAAAAAGGTGATACTAATTATGATATTCTTAATGATCTTCGTCAGGAAATGTACAAAAACAATCCTCAATTGTTGGATATTATTGTAACCGGACTTCCAAAGATGGTTACATTATTCAATGAATCAGAAACTCATATTGTGCGTAATCATACATTGGCTTTTATTGATAGGGCTGTATTTTTGGCAACACCAAAGCAATTACAAGAAAGTGGTTTGGATGAAGCTGCTGTGTGTCAGATGATTGTGGCTGCAGTAACAGACCCTAGTCTCATTCTAAATGTTCAAGCAATGCCACTTTGTCGTAAACTCCTTGAAAAAGTACCAGATGTGTATAAATCTGCATTTGTTCGTGAAGGTGTTGCAAATGCTTTGTTAAAAGCACAGCAACAAAATTTACCAAAAACATCTACTAGTGAAACATCTTCTGAGGAAAAGAAACCTCTTATAGAAAGACTTCATACAGTTGCAGATTGGCGAGAACTTGTGGTTTCAGAAGCTAAAAGTCTTCTTGGAATGTTCCCTTCCGTAAATGATGCTACTCGTGTTGTGCGACTAACAGAAGTTGTTCGGCTTATGCAAGAAGGTAAACTTCATGAAGCCTTTGAGACACTGCGACTGGCTATTATGGATGATACCACGGCGTATGAACTGGCATCAAGTAAAGTCTTGCACGAACTACGAGAAACACTCTCTCGTGTAAATGATATCAGAGTGGTTATGGATTTGATAAACATATTATCAAAAGATGTACAAAATGCCCCATCTGCTCTTACTCGTTTTGTACGTCACTTACAAACTGTTATGTCTCAATTGGATCAGTTCTCTCCTCCTAACTTTGGTGATGTAAGCAGCATTCATGCACAAATCCCTGTACGACTTCTTCCTCATCCCGCAGAGTCATCACGGCAAAAGACTACTCCAACAAGTAAAGGAGGTGTGTTTAAACGTCTCACCACAACTTCATCTTCCAGTTCAAGAGATACAAGTTTTAGACGTCCTGCACGTGTGACATCCACACGAACTGGTTCCATCACAAGTACGTCAGCTACTCAAGGTAATACCTCATCTTCTGCATCGAAAGACTCTGTTGAAGCTCATGAGGTCACCGTATGTATTGAACCTTTAACCAATATGGAAGCATTAATGTCATTTGTATCTCTTAATATACTTGGTGGAAATTCAGATGATACTGGAAGTCGACGTAGGATGGATGATGAAGAAAGAGTAGAGGAAGTATTACCAGAATTGGGTAAAGATGATAATAGTACAAGTAATAATTCAAAAACAAAGAAAACAACGAAAGAAAAACAAATACGACCAGTGTATATTCGTTATGGAAATCATGTTTTACCACCATCTATAACTATTTTACAAGTTATAGAAAAATATCACAATACAGAGTCATTATCTGCCTCATCTAATAAAAAGAATTCTCATGGTGGAAGTCGTGGTTTATCTGAACGTTTTCTTGCTATGAGAGAAGGGTTTGAACATGAAGGATCATGGGATATGATTAAACTTTATTACAGTACTGTACCATTTGGTCCAGAGTACTCTACTGTATCAACAGAGGTTAATATTCCTCGTGGTACCCCTGCAGATCCTCTTATTGTTCGAAAACCATCTGAGAGTGTACTTCCACCTGCTGTAGTTGAAGTGATGCAATCTTTAAATAGAGAATTTCTCTTCAGTGATCGCTTCTTAACAGTTGCACAGAAGGATGTATTAACTTTATTAGGTACTTTTTATGAAGTGATTAAAAATTGGTCAGATCTACTAATTTATATAGGAATGTCTGAAGAAAAGAATCTGACCGAGGATAATGGGTTTCCTTCAACTTCACTTGCTGATTTTATTCACCGTAAGCTTAATAATAAAGCTATGCGACATTGTTCTAATCTACTTCTTGCTGGTCAACACCTCAGTTTATGGGCAGTTAATCTTGCCTTGGATTGTAATTTTTTGTTTGCTCCGATAACACGTAAATATCTTTTTGAGGTGAGTTTCTGTGGTACTATTCGATCTCTTGTACAAATGCAGGAAAATATGGAAAAACATGGTACACAAGGTTCTTCAGGTTCAGATTTTCCAATTACAAGAGTATATAATCTTCAACGTGAGAAAAAACGTGTTTGGCGTGATAAGGCTTTGGCATGTGCGATGCAAATAATGGGAAAAGGTCGTATAAGTGGTTCTTCTGTACTTGAATTTGAATATTATAATGAAAATGGTAGTGGAAGTGGACCCACGATGGAGTTTTATTCTCTTGTCTCGGATGAATTGCGAGAAATGAAACTTCATCTATGGAGACGAACAGATGAAACACCTGATGAGAAGTATTATCAACCCCGTAATGGTTTATATCCACGTCCTTTACCTCCAAACTCTCCTGAACTGGATCGTATTGAACCCTATTTTATGCTACTGGGTCGACTCCTTGCACGTGCTTTACTGGATAAACGAATTATTTCTCTTCCACTTTCACCTGTGCTTTTAAAAATGCTTCGTGGAGATGAATGTGGAGTTTATGATTTGATAGATATTAGTGAATCTCTTGGTGCATCCATTGTAGCCCTTTCTCTTGCGGCTCAAAAGAATAGTAAAAAAATAAAGATGCCAGGATCATCTACTTATTGTGCTGTAGAAGATTTAGGACTTGATTTTACACTTCCTGGTGATGAACCGATTGAACTTAAACCAGATGGAGAAAATATACCAGTAACCTCAAAAAATATTCTTGAATATTGTGATGCTGTTACTTTATTTCTTTTACAAACAGGAGTTGAACGTGTTGTTAAAGCATTCCGTAGTGGTTTTCATGACTATATTCCACTCTACGCGCTACGTATGTTAAGTGTGGAAGAACTGCATGAAGCTATTCACGGTCACGCATCCCTCGTGACTGTGGAAGAACTGGAAGCAAATTGTTTGGCTGATCATGGCTATACTTTAACTTCTCGTCATGTGCGTTTGCTATTTGAGATTATTGCTTCTTTTAATGCAGAAGAACAAGAACGCTTTTTTCTTTTCCTAACAGGTTCTGCACATCTCCCTGTGGGTGGTCTTGCTAGTCTACGTCCAAAGTTTACAATTGTGCGTAAAACCTCATCAGATCCTCGAGTACGTGAGCAAGATCAACTCCCATCGGCAATGACGTGTCAGAATTATTTGAAACTCCCAGCATACGACAGTAAAGAACAGATGGAACAAAAATTGCGACAGGCAATTGATGAGGGATGTGGGGCCTTCCTTCTCACATAAGTATTATCCGTTGCTGCCTTAAAAAAAAGAAAAAAAGGAAAAAACAGAGATAATAATTCTACACAATTTTGAAATTCGAGGAAAATAAAAGGGGAAAAAAAAAGGAAATGAAGCGGAGCAAGTACGTACAGAAATGAGGCAAAGAAATAAAGAGAAAAGAAAGAAAAAGAGAAGGAAGAGTATATATATATCTGTATCTCATTCTTTCTTTATACATGTATTAATATGTAATTAAAACAAAAAAAGAAAACTCTCTTTTCTGGCTGAAGAGGTGCTTCCGTAACACTTTTTTTTATGTACACACACACACACACAAATATATATATATATATATATATTCCTAAAACAGAAGATATTCTCGCGTTACACATAATGTTAAAATGTAGAAAGAACGAAAGATATATTCAATTACATAAGCTAGTAATGTTTAACTGCATATGTATGTCTTTTTATTATGTGTAAAGGAGTGTGTCTGTGTGTGTGTGTTTTTCCCGCATCCTCTCATTTTCCCCGTGACTGTGCACTTATTGTTCTTTTTTGTTTTTTTTCTTGACAGTTGGCGGTGGTGTGGGTGGGAGACGGTGTGTTGATTGACAGGATTATGATTTAAACACCCATTTTTGTTTTTTTTCTCTCAAAAGACGTTTGTGCCCGTTCTACAGAACTATTGATTTCTACTGACCGCTAAGCACATACTCACGTAACAGAGAACGACGTGAGTACTCATATGTTGGAGCTGCTGCTGCCAATGGTATGATGATGATGATGATTACTATTGTTATTATTGTTATAATAAGGAACTTCTCTCTGTTTTTTTTTTTTTTTTTTTTTTTTTTTTGTCTGTTTGACCTCTCTGTTTTTATTATTATTTATAACTCTATTATGGATATAAATTCTCTAAAAGCCCTGTGAGACTAGGTGGTGTTGTCACTTTTTGAAAAGAAAAAAAAAAAAGGGAGGTTCTATGCTGTTGCTTGATTAGTGTAGACGCAATGATAAACTAGGAAAGGAACGAAGAAAAAAAATATATATATATATGTTTTTTTTATTTATTGTATTTCACAATTGTATTTATTATTATTTCCTGTTTTTATTTATGTTTATTTTCATTTTTTCTCTCTTATTTTATTTTTTTTTTTCCTCTACATAGAAAGCGAACATTAGGGCAGGTGTTGATATCTATTGAGTAATACCCCTTCTTCATTTTTTTTTTTGTGTGTTGTTTGTGTGTGAGTATCTCTCCTTATAGATCCTTTCTCTCTATCTGTTTGTGCGTGTGAAGCCAATCCATTTCCCCCCGGCTCGTCGTCCTTATTCTTCTTTCGCTTCTTGTGGATTAAAACCACTATTTGAGTTCACTGCATATTTCACTATAGTAGTATATATATATATACTACTAAACTACACTATACAGCTCAGGATGGAAGCCATACTTGACTTCAGTAAGCCAGTGGATGTGCAGGAGTTTGACCGAGTTGTGCAGTGCCTCTCAACAGGATCACCACAGGAGATTATGAAAGCGCAGCAAGTTCTTACAACGTTTAAAGAGATGCCAGACGCTTTTCTTCACGTTGGATCACTCTTAACGCAATCGCAAAATTTAACGACAAGGTTTTTTGCGATGCAGGTATTAGATGATGCCATCTTACACCGCTGGAATACCTTCACAAATGAACAGCGAGATGAAATCCGTAGTTTTGTAGTGAACCTTATTGTTGGAGAGTGTAGCAGTTTTAGTCGAATTCGTAGCCGTAAGGCACTCTTAACGAAAATGAATGGAACTTTAGTCAGCATCGCCAAACGTGAATGGCCATTACGGTGGCCTAACTTTGTACAGGATATATGTACCAGTGCAGGACCTAATGAACCTCTTGTGGAGAATAATTTGAATCTTCTTCGTCTTGTTGGTGAAGAAATATTTGAATTTGGTGAAAAAACATTAACTTCACGTTGGGTAAAACGAAAGAAAGAAGCACTTAAAAATGATTTTCAATTTGTTATGCAACTTTGTCTTTCAGTTCTTGGTACTACGGATGAGGTTCTATTAAAGACAGATTTAGAATGTTTAGAAAAATATTTGGCATGGATGCAACCTACTCTTGTCTTTAATGAAGAAGTTTTGATGTACTTGGCTGGTCTTATTACTGGTAGTTCTGAGATCTCACCAGTTGTGGTACGATGTTTGACTGTAATATGTTCATTAGATAGAGATGAAGGATCTGCAGGTGATGTGCAGGCACAGATGGTGGTTCGTATGTTTCGTACGGCATTCAATAATGTTGTAAATAGTCTTCCAACGTCTCATTCATCTATTGAGGGACGTATTGTACACATGTATGAAATGTGTGCAGATGCGGATAATGTTTTTATACGTGATTTAAATTTTCTTATTATTACATTCCTCAAGCGTTACATAAAACAAATTATGTACGATGATATCCTGTTCCTTTCTCTACATCAGATGTTAGTGGGTATGAGTCATATTGATAACAAGGAACTTTTTAAATCTTGTGTAGAGTATTGGTGGTGGCTTGGCGAGTTTTTAGTACGCTCTCCATCACCTACCCCATTACACAAAAAACTTACAACAACGCTTAGTAATGTACGTTTTGTACTTATTAAAAGAATGGCCAAACCAGAAGAAGTTATTATAGTTGAAGAAGAAGGTGAATTACGTAGAGAACGTATGACAGATGTGGAAGAATTACAACTTTACAATTTAATGAGAGAAGCTTTGGTATTTTTAACAAATCTTGATCCACATGATACCCAACAAATTATGACAGGACTTATGCAAAAACAACTTGATCGTAGTGAATGGAGTTGGCATAATTGTAGTACCTTATCTTGGGCTGTAGGGGCAGTATCTATGGCATTTACAGAAGAACAAGAATCATCTCTTTTTGTTGTAATTATTCGTGGTTTACTTGATCTTTGTAGAGAGATGCAAGGAAAAGAAAATCGTGCTGTTATTGCTAGCAGCATTATGTTTGTTGTAGGTCAATATCCACGTTACCTTCGTAGTCATCCATCTTTTTTAAGTACAGTGGTACGTAAAATTATTGAGTTTATGAAAGAATTATTTCCTGGTGTACAAGAAATGGCAGTGGATACACTAATGAAAATTGCCTCCCAAGTACCAGAAAAATTTGTTTCTCGAGATATTCGAGATATTTCTATTGCAGAAAGTATAGCTGAACAATGGACAGAAGTTACCTCATTATTACAACCACAACAAATGCAGACATGCTTTGCGGCTGCAGGTTGTATGATTCAGAAAGAGTCCCCAGATCGACAAGGAGGATTATTGAATTTATTTCTTCGAGACGTTAATATGAATTTTAAATCTTTAACTGAAAAAGCTGTTGCTCAAGGTGAAGCATTTTATCGAGATTCATCAAATATGATGGAACTTATTCATACCTTACGTTTGTTTAGTAGTATAGCTTCTACATGTGGAACAGCATTTATAAAAGAGATGGAACTCATTATTTGGGATCTTCAAGGGTTTTATCAAACTTTTTTTGCCCCACAAAATGCGATAGTAGCAGAACTTGGATCCAAGTCATTAACTCAACAAGATGCACGTTATTTACGACTTGCGAAAAAAGAAATTTTACGTATTTTTGAATATTTTATTGATAATACAGAAGAACGTGATTTTGTAGCTGCTAATTGTATGCCAAGTATTCTGTCCGTCGTACTACAGGACTATCGAGACTCATTACCAGAGGCGAAAGAACCAGGAGCCATGGCACTTGTAACGGCCTGTGTAAAGAAACTTGGTCAACGTCTCAGTGATGATTGTGCAGGTATTCTTGATCATACATTTGACACCACAGTGGCTATGATCTGCGCTAACACTGAAGATTTCCCAGAATTTCGTGTGAATTTGTTTAAACTTTTACAAGCGTTAAATGATCATTGCTTTGATGCTTTCTTACGGTATGCATCTGTAAAAGGGGATATTATTAATGGAATGTTATGGGTAATTAAACACACGGATTTTGCAACTATGGAAACTGGACTAAAAACATTAGATTCATTTCTAACAAATGTTGCCAATTCTGATGTGGTGGCCGCCTTCTATACTTCTTTTATGCAACGTATCTTTGTAGAGGTTTTTGTGGCTTCCATGGATTCCCTGCATGCTGCTGGGTTTAACTTGCACAGCAGTATTCTAATCAATCTCTTCAGCGTATCCGACAGGTTCCCGGCGGACACCCCTGTGATTGGCCGCACGGCGGTGGAGGCGTTTCTTCTTGAGAGTCTCTCCGTCATTCCAACTCTCACGCCGACTCTCATCGCCTCTTTTGTGGCGGAGGCGTACGAGACGTACCGCGTGGGAACGGAGTTCCGCCGCCGCTTTGCAGACTTTCTCATTGAAGTGCAAGTGTGGGGCGCAGAGGAGGAGAATAAACTGCAGACAGAGGAGGAAACACGCCGCCGCGAGACGACTATTCCAGGATTTGCCCCCATCAGCATCAGAGTACAAACAGAGAGGTTCTAAAGTAAATACACTATATATATATATATATATATGTGTGTGTACGGTTTTATGCGTTTTACTATTACTATTACTATAAGGAGAATAAATAAGGGTAAAAGAAGAACGAGTGAATGCGTTATCATTTGGATGAATTAAGGTGTTTTCACGGTGACAAAGAAAGAAACAAAGAAAGATAGATACAGAGAAAAAAAAGGTGATAATAAAGGAAAGAGGAGGTAATTTGGTCCATGTACTCTCTGAACCTGCTTCTTTTGTTCGTTGATTTTGTTTTTGTTTTTCGCTTACCTTTCCTTTGCACCTACGCTATATTTCTTTCTCATCTTCACTTATATTCTATTTTGGTCGTTTCATTTTACGATTATAAATACAACGTGTACGCATATGTTCACTTATACGTCTACAGAAGTACTTTTGCCCTTGAGGTTGTTTCTGTTTCTTTTTTCTTTACGACCTTTATCCTTTATTATTGTTTTTTTTTTTTTTTCATTGTTTTGCATATTTGCTCTATGTAAATGGATTAGATTATTATTTCTCTACCTATATTTTTCTTATGGTAATGACTTCACTTTGGTCCTTCTTGTTTTTGTTTTTTTTTTCTTTTTTTTTCATTGATTTTGTATACCAGAGGTAACTGCGACTGTAGTCTTTGAAAATTCATGACGACCAGTTCAGTTGGCGGCAGTACAGTTGCCAATAGCAGAGGCACACAACCGTCTCCTGTATCCCACACAATCTCTTCACAGTTGGCATCCGCTGCCAGTACTTTCATCTATTACCCCTTCGATACACTTAGAATACGATTTATGTCACAAGATGGTACTTTACAAAGACAACATAATGGACAAACATATCATTCTATTAGTAAAGCTTTAACTACCATTTATCGTGAAGAAGGTTTACGAGCACTATTCCGTGGTTGTCACATTGCAGTAATGGGTGCAATGATGTCATGGGGAGTGTATATGTATCTTTATCGTTCACTTTGTAGTTTATCAGAAGTTTCTTCTTATATTGGTCGCGCAGGTGTTTCTGCTGTCGCAAGTCTTATCGCGACATTTTTTTCTTCACCCATTTGGCTTATAAAGTCTCGTATGCAAATTGAAGAGGCTACCAAATCTAAAAATTATGTTACTTTTCATGGAGGTGTACGTCATGTACTCCAAACCACAGGATTTCGTTCTCTTTGGCGAGGCGTTTCTCTGCAGTTAACTTTAGTCATTCCAAATTCTCTTAATGTTCCCACTTATGATTTTTTAAAAGGAATTGTTTTACATACCCGTTATGGTCACAATTCTATGAATGGGGAGTTAAGTGTTTTGGAGTCTTCACTGTGCTCCATGTTAACCAAGACATTCTTGGTGTTTCTATCACACCCCATTACGGTATTGAAGGTTAGACTACAGGATCAGCGATGGAATGCTGGGGAAGTAAAATACAGAAGTGTTCATGATTCTATTTTACTTATTTTAAAACGGGAAGGAGCTCGGGGAATGTTAAGAGGATTAGGGTCCTCCTTATTACACTCGCTTCCACGCACTACCACTTATTTTGTAATATATGAGAAAACATTAGGCTTTTTTTCCCGTTACGCATGATGTCCAACTCCAACCCAATTACCTTTTATCTTTTTTTTTTGTGAATATTTTTTATTACTATTGTTATTATTATCATCTCGGGTAAGAGGATTGGAACATTTGACGTTACCATCGGTGTGGATACCACGATTACTTATAACGTTTGAGTTAACACTTAAAAAAATTAAGAAAAAAAAAGTTCGTTTTTTTTTGTTGTTGTTGTTGTACTGTGTGACGGTAATGTAAAGAGAGCGATGATTGACTATTTCCTTCTGCATATTTATATATTTCTACTGACGCATCCAAAGGCAAAATATCTCTAAAATAATTACAACAATAAAATAAAAAAAATAAAATACAACACATTTGGCTGATTATTATTTCAAATTGGAAAGGTTTCTTTTTCTTTATAGATTAATATATTTATATATACGTATTACTCTTACTATTAAAAAAGCTTTACCTTCTTTTTTTTTTTCTTTTTTTTTTTTTACCTTACATTAGAGGGGGACCGTAGTGGTAGAGTCAAATCTGGTGGGAGGATGAGATCTGGGAAAGCTGATGATATCGAGAGGCAGCAGCAGCGACAAAAACAAGGACAAGGACAAGGACAAAATAAACAATCAGCTTCGCCTCTCGCACACACAATGGCAACACAAGTTGCCGGAGCGGTAAGTACTATGATGTTGTACCCCTTCGATACACTTAGAATACGATTTATGTCACAAGATGGTACTTTACAACGACAACATAATGGACAAACATATCATTCTATTAGTAAAGCTTTAACTACCATTTATCGTGAAGAAGGTTTACGAGCACTATTCCGTGGTTGTCACATTGCAGTAATGGGTGCTGTTGCTGCATGGGGAGTGTATATGTATCTTTATCGTTCACTTTGTAGTTTATCAGATCTTTATATGCCTCAGGGTGAGTTGAAACAAGTAGAAGACTTTGTTCGTCGTTCATTTCTCTCAGGCGTTGCTAGTAGTTGCTCTGCAGTTGTGTGTAATCCTATATGGCTTCTAAAGACGCGTATGCAGTTGGAAGAAATATCTTTTCGTACCTCTGGAACAAGAACTGGAAATTATTTATCTTTTATTCGGGGATTAATACATGTTATCCAGACCACGGGTTTTTTTTCGTTATGGCGTGGGGTTTCTGCACAAATCCTACTTGGGTTACCAAATGCGTTTAATTTTCCACTATATGAATTATTTAAATCATACTATATGCGGTATACTTCTCGAGATAATCTTAGTACATTAGAGATTTCTCTATGCTCGACGGCTGCGAAGTCTCTTGTAACTCTTTTTGCTCATCCTATTCTCGTGCTAAAAACTCGATTACAAGATCATAGAAGCCGTTGTGGTGAATTAAAGTATGTTTCATTTTTTCAATCCTCTTCACTTATTTGGAAGAGAGACGGCTTGCGGGGTATGTACCGAGGTGTTGTACCCTCATTTTTTCAAACTGTACCACGTTTAGTTATGACTATTGTACTGTATGAGAAATTTATGCAGTTTTATTCTAAACGTAACAGTCTCAGTAATTAGGAAAGTGTCCTTTTACCTTTCCCAAATTCTGTGTTTTTTTTTTTTTTTTTAATCATTATTCTTTCCCTCATGCCATCTCGACGCCAAAATTAAAATACAACGGTAGAGAGAACTATAGATCCCTCACTAATTTTTTTTAAATAGATAACTATTATTTATCTATATGTTTTTTTTCTTTTTCTTTCTGTTTCATTTTTATTTTTTACAGTTTAGCCATGCCAGAAGAAAAAACATCTCATCGTTTTCTACTAGAGACATGCTCGCAGCAACTCCACCGCGAGGAGGCCATACGTCGCCGACGTGAATTACTGGAGAGAGAGTCCACAAAGCCTCCTGTAATGCACTTTGGCAGCACATCCTCTCTTCACCGCTCCACTACGCCTACGCCTACCCCTACGAGCAGCAATAATACCAATCACTATCCCAACAAGAAGGTAAAGTCTGTTTCTCCAGTGCCACGCCCTGTGCCCACGCCCAGCTCCAACCGCCCAGTGAGAAGATCCCGCTCCGCCCCACCATCGGCCGCAGCGTCTACTGTTCGATCACGCCCGCACAGCCGCGAGTCAAGCCGCCGTCTCCCGCTTCCACCAGGCGCAAAAATCACAACACGTCTGATCTCAATACCACGAGCCAAGTCCTACCGCCCATCACCCGCCACATCTCGAGTCGCCTCACCAGCTCCACCGGTACAAGGAACAGAGACTAATGGGGCAAAAGGACCACAGAAACGATCACGTTCAGGTTCCATCTCAAGGGCAAACTCCAGGTCAAAACAAAGACGTTTCTCTCTTCCACAAAAGAGTGATTCCATTCCTAATGAGAAAAAAGCACCTTTTATGTCCAGTCAGTCTCCTACGAGAAATGCTTCACCGTTTAAGCAACCTACATCGCGTACACCAACACCTCCACCACCGATATCACGGTCTGTACAGGAGCAGAGCGGAAACAATGTTCATATTCCAGTAATTGTTTTGGCACCTGTATTGCGTGCAGAAGAACGAAGTGAATCTTTACACCCTGTTAGTCCTTTTGCATTACCTAGCACAGCAGAACGGAAAATAAAGGAAGGAAAAATAGAACCAGAGGAGTCGCAACATAACCAAGAACAAGAAGAACAGGAAGAGGAGGAGGAGTTGACGACGTTTCGTATTAGCGAATTTCGCATGCCTCGAACTCCACAGCGTCGTTCTAGCCTTACCGCAAACTCTCTTCCGCAAATAACAACAAGTACTGGAAAATATTCTCAAGAGCGGCAAAGAACTGAAGAGGAAGAAAAAGAAGAAGCTAATCAATCTTCTTGTGTGAAGGATGTAAGCGTTATGTCCCACACAGTTGAGGAGGAAGCGAAGCGACTTGACTCTGTCGAAGATGAATATGTTCGTTTAAGCACTAATCTTGATGATGAAGAAGCCATGCTATCTCATGAAAAGGGAAAGGAGACCGAATGCAATGTTAATGAATGTGAAAATGAAGAAGTTGATAAAAGTTTACCAGTCTTAGCTGAGAATTGTGGTGCCCAGTTTTCATCACCTCCTGCAGGGACCCTAATGACGGCTGATGTGATTGGTACAGCAGAACAAGAAGAGACTGCGGTATCGGCATACAGCTCTCACGCGTACGAATGCAGTTCTACCACTACTGAGTCGCCACAAAAGGAAATTGAGGCAATCGGAGGACGTCAACTTTTATTTGATGCTGAAGAAGAAACTCCAAGTGATGATAAAAAAGATGAAGAAGAGGAAGAAGAAGAAAAAGAAGAAGAAACGAAGGAGGAAGAAGTGAAAATTCATCTTCAGAAACTTGTGGCATATGAATGTGTTGAACCTACTGTTTTAACTAATATAGAAAGCTGTGCGACATCACAAAACACATTCAAAGATTGTATTAGCGCCCCTTCTTCTTCCCCTGCGCTGCAGTTACCAGATGCATACCGACAGCTTGAGGCAACAAGGCGTGAGATGGCAACATCTTCTGTATACCAGCGAGAGTCTCTAGCAGCAGCGGCTGCAACAATAGCAGCGGTACGCCGTGCGGAAGGTCGATTAAGTGAAAACCGACGTGACAGTTTAGTATTGGTGACGGGAGACCTACCAACTGTGTATACACCGGCTATTCAAGAACCACATACACCACCACCAGCACTCAAAGTACAGATTTCACATTCGAGTCTATCAAGAACTCCTCCACCAAAATCTCAAAATACTTTTATTTCATGTGATGTTTCACCGATACCACGTCCAGTTACTCTCCGTTCTCAAATATCCTCTACATCACGTCAGGGGGGTGTAAAAGAGTCTGTGTCTTTGTCATTAAGCCCACAGGAAGGACGCTCCACACCGTATCCTCACGCTTCTTTGACGAATGTCAGTAAAGAAATAGATGAAGAAATTGCTGATAATGAAGAGAATCAAACAGAGAATGTTATGGATACAAGTGCGCATAATACCACTGCACGTTCTCGCTCACGCTCAACATGTGGAAGAAAGTCTGTGGTGGAACGGTTGATGGAAAGTTGTCCATCTGATGTTCGAGAAGAGGCTGAACAGCTTATTGCCGCCGATATGGTTACAGCAAGTACTCCTTTACGGAACATGGGTAGTGGACAAATTTCTGAAATTTTAACAGATACTTCTTCAATTTCGCAGCGTGTGGCAGCACGTCCACGTAAGTATTATTACGATTATACCTACTGGGAACGTTATCTACATGATTCTACTAAAAAAAGTCTACAAAAGCCGAAGCGAAGATCCAGTAAAAAGGCGAAAAAGTCATCTTCACAAGAAGTGAAACCCGATAGAGAGCGAGATGATGTCCATATAGAATTGAATGTTGGGCATGAAACCAAAAGAAGAACCACTAACACTACCGCCAGTACTGATACTGCCACAGTGGCAACAACGGTCCAAGGGACAAGAAATTCAACACCAAAGATGCCTCGTTTGACTCCTACATCCTCCTCACAGTCTTCTAAGAAGAGAAACTCAACCTCAGTGCAGAGATCATTAAGGAATTCCATTTCTCGTAAGAATCGTGACAGAATTATTCTGCAAAGGAGACGTATGTCGAGACGTCATGCAAGGCGAAAGTAAAAGACACATTTTTATTGATTTGTGAGTATTATTATTATTATTATTTTTACTTTTTTTTTTTTTTTATACGTAGATGCTTCACTGTTCTAGGCTACCTACCCCGCTCAGATTATCTTCCTTAGATTAAAAAAAAAAAATAATAAAAAAAAACTAATGCAATAAAAAAAAAAAAAAGAAAAACAGCTTATTCACAATATTTTTTTCACATATATAAGTTTAGAGGGAGGGAAAGAGAGAGATTCAGCTCCAGCTATAAAAAGGTTATAAGGGTTAGGAGTAGTTTCTTTTTCTCTTTATATGTGTAAATATAAAAAAAAAAAATAACTTGAATAATTAAGTAGAGAACAGCCAGAACATTTATTATTATTATTATTATTTACTGTACTTCTTCTTTTTTTTTTTTTTGAGTATTCCCTCAATTACAAATGTTAACTTCGTATAGAAAGGTAACAGAAAAGTGTAATTAGATAAGAGGAAATTATAAAATATAGAAGAAAAAAAGCCAGAAAAGACACCTGGCTACAGTAATATAAATTTGTACTAGATGATTATTAAAAAAAAAAAAAAAAAGAATTACTCAGAGAATTCAGATCGATAGAATATATTTTGAGAGTAAAAAAAAATATACTTTTCTATTTATTATTTCTGTTTAATAAGAGAGATCTAGTTTGGCATATGTTTTTATTTTTATTTTTTTATTTTCTCTCTCTTTCTTTCATGTATACATACACAAGGGATCTGTACCAATCCAGTAGATCTACTCAATAGTGGGAAAAGGAAACAATAAAGAAAAGAAAAAAAAAAAAGACATATTATATTTCTGGAAAACTAACGATCATGCGGCGCTGGTTACTGGACAACACATGCAGAATCACTCTCATTTTAGATTTACAACGGTATGTTGCTTCTACACCTAACGATAGTACCGATCATAGTTCAGGGAAGAGAGATTCAAAGTCAAGAGTATCCTTTGGCATTGATCAGAAAAAACTTGATCTCATGCTTAATCTTCATGAGGCTGACTTTGGTGCAATGGTAAAAGCTACAAGAAATGCCCTAGCGAAGGAAAAGAAATGGAGAGAAGCTACTATTGGTGATGTTTCCCATACAAAAGATAATAATTCAAATATTGAGAAGTCTGAAAAAGATACAGTTTCAACAGTAACACACACTAAAGATGGAGATGTTGATACGAGTCCAGGTCCTTCTTCTAGTATGGAGAATAACAAAGATGATATTGAAGCTGGTAAAAAATGGATGGAAAGTAGAACTGTTCGAGGAATTGTTGGGGCAGGAGCGGCTCATGATACCAACTCTATGTTTGTTGTTCAACAACAGCGAAAAGCGGAAGGTGCCAGATTTAGTTTAATGGATGCTTTACGTGATTGTGTTTTATCTGGAAATTGGGCTAAAGCAATGCGTTTATTTGAATCAGCAATTGAAACCAGTTATAAGAGTATTCGTGGTAACTCTTTTACGGCATCTTCATCTATTATGAATAAGAACTTGGAAAAAGAAGATCTTGATGCACTTCGTCGTATTAATGCTACAACACCACCAGGGGCTATTTCCATAAATTTACCAAACCATCGCGGTATATTACGCTGGGGAGGTGGTCATTATTATTTACTATTAAAGCTACTTCTTAGTAGACACCGAGTCACAGAGGCTGAAAGAGTTTGGGAAGTAATGAAGGGAATTGGATTTGTTGAATTTCACATGGATGAACGTTTGTTTAATCAATGTATTGCCTTGGCTCGTAAGACTCCCTCATCTGATATTGTGTTGCCTCTCGTAGAATCCAAAAAAGATTTGGAAGATCAAAATAAAACATTTCGTAGAACATTTGTAATTGAACTGGAACAATGGGCAAAACAGAAAGAGTTACAGTTAGATGCACGTAGTAAACATACCACTCAAGCGGCTCGTCTTGCGCAGATGATAAAAAATAGTGAACACACAAAAGAAATGGAAAGTAGTATGTCTGGATTAGACACAGATGGTCTTAAGGTGGGAGACTTTAGTGGCCTTCTTCGTCGATGTGTCTCTGAAGAAAACACTTCACGTGTATTGCAAATGATGGATAAATTGAATATTCCACGTGATGGTCAAATTTATAGTGCCCTTATTGCGGCTCTTCGAAATCCAAATTATCGTTTAGCCGGCGACACTATTTCCACTGAAAGTAATGCCGGAAACACGAAGGAGGAATTTGACGCCCACCGTAAACGACGCATTGAACGGGCATCTGAGTGGTTTGCGGCATGTCCTGAGAGCGAACGTACGGCGGATGTTTACAATGAGATGCTACATATCACTCGAGGTGGTAAAGACGAAGATGAAATGTTTAATCGTCTCTTGATTGAGTTCCGCGGTGCCCCATTACTCCCACCTACCGCTACCACTACTACTACTACTTCCTCAACAGAGACTTCGGCCACAATGAGTGAAGATTCCATCACATTGGTTCCCCCGCAGTGGCGCGTCCCTCCTAACGGACACACATATGAGATACTTGTAATGCACTATATACATCTACAGCAGTGGCCCGTTGTTTGGGCGCTCTATGATGAAATGAACGGCCGTCGTATTCGGGGAACTCAACGTCTCTTTCACACATTGCTTAATGTGGCCCACCGCGCTCCACCGCACAATCGTGACCCACACGTAGTCGTTATGGGGATTTATGATGATATGAAACGTTCTGGTGTAGATGTAACGGGTATAAAAAGTACGGTGAATGTTGTTAACGCTTGGTGTGCTACCCGTCGTAGGCGGCGGTGGTGAGGCTCATGATATTAGAGGTTCGAATTGAGAAAAGTTTCTCTTTCTCTCTCTCTATGTTAGTGTGTATTTGTGCAGAATGTTCTGGAGTTATACCTAGGAAAGGAGAAACTAAAAACAAGGTAAGTAGAGCCATGTGATTTAAATATTACTATTATTTTTTGCGGCTGTCTGTGTGTGTGTGTGTGTATGAAACAAATAAAGAGTCTGTTGATGTTGTTGCGTTTTTTTATTTATTATTATTATTATATGTTTTTGTACTCGACAATGGGTATCATTGCAATGAGCAAAATGTATATTAACCTCTTTCTTTTTTTTTTGTTTTTCCTCTAGATTACTTTTAGTGGCTACTGTTGAAATGGCTGCACTGGAGTCGTTGAATTTTGATGTAGATGGTGCTGTTCACTACATTCACTGTGTGTTGTCCAATGTACCGCTACAGTTGTCTGTATCGGAATTAGGCCCAAAGGTAGTCCCTGATCCGAACAGTGCAATTGTAATGCAAATGGATTCTATTGGGTTTCGCGTTATTCCGCATCGTCTTCATATTTATAAAGAGCCACTTAGTACAAAATTTGGTTTTGTTACCTTTTTTATTGCGCAGGCACCTTCACCCGCATCTTCTGTGGAGCGGGATACAGAAATGATAGCAACTCCAGCGAAAGTACATGAACTGGCGACAACGTGGGTTCGTCAAGATCTCACCAAACAACTGGCGTCTATTGGAGTTAAAGTGCAATTAGGGCAACCACTGAAGTGTTATTCTTCTGTTCCTTTCCTACGGGCACTAAATGAGAAATGTTCTTTTTTGGACGCTGAAATCGTAAAGGATACTAAGAAGTTAGAAACATTTCTTTTGACTAAAATGGCATTCGATGATGAGTCGATAAATAATAAGAAAAATAAGAAGAAACATGTGGAAAAATCTCCAAGTAAAGATAATAATACAGAAGAATCTTGGAATACAGTTGGTTCATTACATGTGTCTTCATTGAATTCTAGAGAATTGTTGTGGCTGAGTCAACAAAACCGCCGATTTCCTCCCATTCTGGTGACGAACGATGACTTTGCACATGCGACATGTGATCAATCTGCACTACGATCGTTTTTGGAAAATACACTTAATCCAATTGTTGAGGTATTACCATAGTTTTTTCTTTTTTTTATTTTATTTCATTTATTGTACGTAGTGTAACTTTTTCAATTCGCCAAGAAAAAAAGAATGTTTCTGATTTGGATCAAGTGAAAGGAATAAATAATAAAAAAGAAAAAAAGAAAGAGGATCTTTATTGCAAAGGATTTCCATGATGATTACTTTCAGACCTTTGTATCTCTCCGTTCGTTGCGTCTTTGTTTGTGTTTGTGCGTTTGTGCGTATGAGTGCCGTTGACGAGAACACTTCTCATGAAGTTCTACACAAAGTCTGAAGTGAAGTGAAGTGAAGAAAATAATAAATAAAAAATAAAAAACAATGTATATGTGTCTATTATGTTATTTCTTTTCTCCTTTTCTCCCTTTTTCTTTTCTTTTTTTTTTTAATGACTTCATTTTTAATATATAGGAAGTGATTTTTCAACACAATGGACTCGATTCTCTCTCAATCACGGGCTGAAGAGATTGCCGCGGTGGTGGAGTTGCCGGATTCGTTAATAGAGAGTGTTGCCCAATGGACTTATGGTCTTTTTGGTCCCGCTGTGGATTTATTTGAGTCTTTCGCAGAGAGTCAGTTCCCTCAAGTGACGATGTGGATTCAGCAGTTGGACGGGCGGCGGCATCCTTTTGCGTCCAAGTTACCATTACTGAATTTTTGGTATGTCATTTTCAGTCTTCTTTGTTATTTTGGTGGAACTATTCTCTTATTATTAACTGCGAAGATTATTGGAAAGGGAAAATATCGAATGTTAGTGGCTTTACATAATTTATTCTTGTTTTCCTTGTCCTTATATATGAGTTTCGGCATCATGGTAAGTGCACGTGCGGCCAAATTTTCACTCTGGAACAATCCGGCAGGAACTAGTAATGCAGATTGGCGTGTCACTAAGTTAGTATGGCTCTTCTACGTTAGTAAAATTCCAGAATGGATGGATACATTTGTGATGTGTCTCAAGCAGAACACTCGTCAAATTACCTTTTTACATTTATATCATCATTCAACTATATTTTTTATTTGGTACATTTGTTGTTGTATGGCTCCAGGTGGAGAAGCGTATTGGAGTGCCATGGTGAATTCATCTGTACACGTTGTCATGTATGGATACTACTTTCTTACAGCTGTCTTTGAAGAAGGGAAAGTACGTCGCTTTTTAAATCGATTTAAGTTTTTTATTACAAAGGGACAAATGTTGCAGTTTGCTATTAATTGTTTACAGTCTGTGTATGATCTTTATATTATTCCCCAAAAATCTCTTAATTATGATGTCAGACTTTTGCAACTTCTCTTTTGGTATATGATATCATTACTTGTGCTCTTTGGGAACTTCTTACTAAGGGCTCCCAGGTCAAGATCTGAAGAAAAAGAAGAAAATATTCTTCGCTATAAGGAGTATCTTAAAAAGACTCTTCGCAACGGGGAATTAGGAGATAAAACATTACTGGTAAAACCAGCAGTTGAGCTAAGGAATTCACCTCGATTTGAAAATCCAAAAAAATATAAGAAAAACTCTTAAATCCCTATGTTTCTTAATGTTAGAAGAAGAAACTGTAAAGATGAAAAATTTTTTAGGTTTCTTGTAGTGTTCTTTTGGGCATTTTCATTTTTCTTTTTCTTTTTTGCTTTTCTGTTGTTGGCTGTGGGTTCTTCTTCTTTCATGTTGATGTTGAGATTTTGACGTCATTACAATACTTGTGACATTTGATATTATTATGGGATAGTGTCTCTCTGTGTGTGTATATATGAATAGAAAACGTTGAATTATATCGTCATGAGGAGAAATACAAGATGACGTTTTTCTTTTTTCTTCTACTTTTTTATTGTTTCTCTCACATATATCTTTTTTTTTTTCTCCCGTGGGCTTGTGAATGTTGTGGTGTCTAGCCGTGAGATTTTTTTATGATTGAAAAAAAAAATATATGAGATTATTTTTCTTTTCTTCACAGGAATAATCCTTGCCTTGGAGTGTAGGTTTAGAAGGACCGGTCAAGCTGCATTCCTCTTTTTTCCCATTATTTGGGAAGCCGGTGAAATGTGGTTTTAATGGATTCTTTTATTTGTTTTTTTTTTCTTGGCAAGTATAACAAATTCCTTGAGATGAAAAATCTTCTTAGAAACGCTGCGGGGCTGATCTTAATAATTAGTAGTAATAAAAAATAAATGAGAGAATTGTAAGTTTTGTTTTTTTTTTTACTCTCCTTTGCTTTAATAGGAACATGAAGGTGAAGGGGCATTCTTTCTTTGATTCTTAATTCAGTACTGTCGCCCTAATTATTTCACTGTGCTTAATCCTGAAAAGAAAAAGGAAAAAGGTTGGGTTTTTTTTTTTTATCTCTTTTCTCTCTTTCATGTATGTGAGAGAAGCCTTCCTTCTTTCCCTTTAATTCTAAAATAATTTTTTTTTTTTTATGTTTTCTTTTTGTTTCTCTTTTCTTCCCCCACTCGGTAGTACCAAGATAGCATCAAGTGAGATCACCACAGCACAGAGAGAATAAAAAAAATAAATAAATAAATAAATAAATAAAAAACTCTTTTATTCAATTTTCCTGTATTTAATTAGAAATGACTATTGGTGCTAGTGTTTGCCAGCGCGTTTCCCGGCAAATGCGGCAGGAGACTTCTGCTGGTGAATTCCAGTCGGTGGAGCGGCTGCAGACACTGAAGAAAGATACACTACAGGATGGACAATTAGTGTGGATTGCCCAGTCAGATACCCCTTCACATGATAAGAAAAGGGCATTTCGTACATCCCGTGGAGAGAAACATTTACTATCAGAAGAGGAAATTAAACGGTTTACCCGCACTCCATACGAGCGTGGATTTAATGAATTTATTTATGAAGGTCAAATAAAACATTTAAAAAATATGGAAAACTCAACGGATCCACGAGGTTCTATGCGTCAGGGTAGTGGATCATTATTTTATCCAAATGGTTCATCTTATGTGGGAAATTGGCATCACAATAAACGACATGGTGTGGGTTGTGTTTCTAATCATAAAGGATATAGATATGCAGGTGATTGGCGCAATGATGTACCTAATGGAAAAGGATATGAAGTTTTTTCTTGTCGTGCTGCTATTGATGCGAACTACGAAAATGGATCTCCACAAGGAGAAGGGGTTATACTTTACAATCCAAAACTAAATGCCTATCGATATGAAGGTGAATGGAAGAATGGACAACGTCATGGAAAAGGAATTATTTTTTACGCTAACGGAGATACCTTTGCTTGTACATTTTCTTATGGTAAACGTGAAGGACGAGGAGTGACAACACAAACAGTAAATGGAAAGTTAATTCAGTATGAAACGAATTGGGAAGATAATAAACTTGTTAATGGCCCAAAATTAATTCCCAAAGCTCTTCGTACACCCAAACCTGTTTCTTCTATTCCATATAGAACTAAAGGATATTTAACTGCTGCCGATATCACAAAATGGACTGTTACAGGTAATCCTGTAGATCTTCCATTCGAACATTTTATGCAATTAAAATTGGGTTTTGAATCATTAGATGTGGTTGGATGTGGTTTTCTTCCATTAAAAGAATTACATGCTGTTTGGCCAGAGAATAATATGGAAATGCTTAAAAAATTAGAAATTGATAACCGAGAATATGTGGAATTGCTGGATATATTTTCTTTATGGTATCCAAATGTTTCTCCACATAATATATATCGATTTATGCAAGAATTCATAACACCATTTGATTTATTGAGGATTAGAGGATATCTTAATGGTATTGAAGATTCGGACTCTATGGGATACTATCATATAATTGGTGATACTTCACCTTTAAACTTTGGAAATTCTCAACATCCACCATTACAGTTAAGAGATCTTGAAGCACATGAATATCGTATTGGTGGAGAAAAGTTTAGTTCCGAAAATTATGAAACTGCTAGACAATTTCATGATCCACCTCATTTATTAGATGTATTGGAAGTATGGTATCCTAATATTATGCGGGTTACACTAGAGCAGTATGAAATGGAAGATGTAGAAAAAGATATTATTGACCCTATACGAGTAGATTTCAATCGTTATGCACGTGATATCTCTATAAATGGTGGATATCTTCTTATTGATGATTTTCTACAGGCAGAGACTAAATATCGTGAATTTTTACTCTCAGGATATCGGAATAATATTAATAGTAATCATAATAATAAAATCATGACAACACCAAATAGATTAACATCAAATCTTTTTCCTGAAACATTCTCTCCTAGTAATTCTGTTGAGGCAGAGATGCGGCAAGGATTTCAAAAAGGTACCGTTATGTGGGTTTTGGGTAACCGAATACGAATTAATATTCCATTTCTACTTGAGATTGAGAACTTTTACGTCAGTCGAAAGGGTCAAATTACATTTGATGAATTACTGCGCTTCTGTTTCCCTAATGTTCCTTGTCTTCGAACGCAAGAAGCTCTGCTGGATCAAATTACAGATACCCCTTGTAGGTGTAGTCTCTGCAGTGCCATTCCGGGC